AATCAATTATTGTAATGCACTAAGTAGTCTAAGAGCCGAAATGGGATCTAAGCTGGTATTTGGCACCACTGAAATTTTATCAGGTTGAAGCTCAGGTAGAGATTGCAGTCAGGCATTTGGGGACAGAAAGCTTCACTGGCAGCAGAATAAGGAAATTTTGATTTTGTGATAGCTGGAAAATGAGAGATAGAGTCAGACCACTTCAGTGCACGTTCCACTCTGATTGCAAAACAGGCATCTTGAAATAAGGGATCCGCTTAACAAAGATTACTGGAAACTTTTTGGACCTAGAAAACAGTTGAGGTACATGAAGAAATGAAATTAAATACCCCTGAGAAATGTGCTCTCACTCTCCCTTTTTTTTTTCCAAAAAAAAGGTTCCTTTTCATAGAAATGTTTATGATTTTGTGGAGGGGGATGGAAGTGAGACTGTTTTTCCTTGGCAATTTGCAATAATGTTTTTTTCTCAGCAACTCTAATTACAATCAGCTGAGTTTAGGCTTGAGTTTACTCAAACATACAGCCCCATTTTTTAATGACATTTGCCAGGTTTCCAGTACTGCAATATACAAATTTCTTCAAAGGTTAAAACTTGCATTAAATACAGGCACAGTTTGACATAGACGTTTCTAAAAGAAAAACGGAGTATTCAGGGGGATCTCACACACAGAAATATCTAAGAAATCTAAGTTTTAAGATGATCCCAAAACTATTGAGAAACAATGCTACAAGCACCCTGAACACAATTCTTCAACTAATAATAACAATTTTTGTGTTATAAAAGTTACAAGACAAAATACAGTGGGAACAATGCTCAGAGTAGTGCTGATATTACATGCAGTTAATAACTGTAATTGCAAGACAACTTTTGCATTTGTAAGACTGCGGGAAATACAAAGTCTTGAAGGCAGTCATCTAGAGAGCACAAGAGACTCCCAGCCAAACCAGTATTGCCTGTCAAGGGATATAGGCTCGTGTTCATGCAGCAAGGGGCATGTGCTGCTCTCAGCAGGGTGTTTTTCCTCCTCTCCCTGTCTCTGTCTTATTCTGTTTAATGTTTAAGCCCTGATTGCTCACTTTGCTAGTCAAAACAGGGCTTTATTTTTGTTCTCCAAGATGTGCAGGGCTAGTGCAAGTAGTTAAGGGAAGCAAGTTGTCCTTCTTCAACATCAATATCCTCCTTGCCAACAATAATTATTCCGCCCAGGGAGTTTTTTTCTTATCTGCTGATGCATATGGGGTTGGGGGGGTGTTAGTGATGGGATATGCCGCCTCTTGATGTTTTCTGCGTTTTCTTAAATGTCACATTTTGACCTATGAGATTAGGAAAAGAATGCTTTGCATTTGTTTGCAAATCTGCTGGCAGCTGCCCCTTCAGCATGAGGCCTGGGCCTGGCACACACTGTGCAGCCTAATTTTTTTGCGCACTGGATGCAATTTTTTTTTACACCCATACCACTCTTTTAACTCCCATAGAGGTATTTCTTCTCCATTACCAAGTGAGTTTTCAATTTATGCAGATGTGCTTTTGCTTAGACTAGCCCTGTAAGCAGGACAAGAGCCCTAATGTAGGTATTTGGCAGAAAACATTCTCAGTAGTTCTCCCTTTATCTGCAATTTAACCTTGGGGTTGCAATTTGGTACACTTACTGCCTTTAGGCTGTGCAGAAGTGCTTAGAACATGTGAGATTAGACAGCTGATGTTGCCTAATCTTCCCTATCGGTAAGAAAGGGGACTTTCTTTCCCCTCTGTTGTTCCCTAGAAGTCTGTCTCCTTCCCTTAATATGTGTGTTACCTCCCTCAGGTGACACAAAGATCTCCTTCAAAATGAAAGCATCCCTAGCTTTGATGGGGAATTTGAAGGAACTTGTCTCAACTTGAGACTTGAGCCAGAGCAGAGGCCTTTATTAATTTAACTAGATTTTACCAAATTCCAGGGAGATTGGAAACTAAATTCAGTTTCTAAATTACATTGCAAATAGGACACATCTACTAGCTCAGAAGGAACCAAAATTCTTACCTGTGGAGCAATCCCCAATCATTTCATTCTCTTAACATCCATGAAAATAATCAAACTACGTTATTCAGCTTTACTCCCCCTTCTGTAAGGCTGCCAGTCTTAACCACTTCACCAACAGCACAGCCAGTTCAGTGTTACTCATGATCACAGGGCTGTACCTCTTCAGAGAGAAAGCAGAATGGCTAGAGTTGTTATCGTAAAGACTCTAAGTTGCTATTGAGATCCAGAAGGTTTCTGGTGTGTATATACATATATATACACACACACATATATATATGTGTATATATAAAACCACCTCTTACGCTCTTTGGTATACCAACTCTGTTCCGGCAACATTTTCTGTCATGGTTATTAAGTTACTCTCTTATAATTTTGGGGTTTTTTTCCAGCTGATCAATAATAGATTGAACAGGGAGGCTGCAGACAACATACAGAATAGTCTGCTCGCTTCACAGATGGTCAAAGCAGAGCATGAATTTGCTGTGCTATGCTTCTGTCAGGGTTTTGGAACCTGAACAGAAATTAAAACTCAGTCCTGCTATGGGGAATTTTGTGTCTGGCTGGGCACAACCCTGAATGATGAACAGTTTCTAATAGTGATGATAGCAGTGATAATGGTGAAGTCCACGCTGACAGGTTGGGACAATAGCAAATATTCACCTTTGTACGTGAAATACCAGCACTGTTGCTTTCCCCATTGATGTTACATACTGCTTTCTCTAGATCCCATCCTCACAGGCTGGTGCCTCCCCAGACCTTGCTGGTAGATGTGACAGGGGTAGCAGATGATCTCCCTTTTCCCCTGTCATGCATGGGGGTTGTTGGGAGACCCTTGGTTCATAATAAATGTCAGTTATGATTGACAGTGGGATCAGGCTTCCTTGGTTTAACACTCAAACCAAGTAGCACTGGTGATTCCCTCTAGTCATCTCCGTCCTTTAATAATTCTCCTTCCCTTCAGATGGTTAAATGTGCCTTGCTTTGATTTGGCTGTGGGGCAGAGATCCAATGGAGAGCTTTGATTTATTTTGTCTCTGCTCAGGAGTGGCAGCACTGATTTACTACCTGGTCACTCCCCTGATCCCCCACCAGGAAGGGTCCCCCATCCCCCCTCAGCCACACTTGGAGAGCAAAGGTTGTTCATAGCAGATCTGTAACTAAACCCAAGCTGATCCCCTTCTGGCTCTTGAACCGCTTTTCCACTCTCTTAGTCCAAGGTTTGTGTACGCAAGCTGGCTTGGCCCTGGGTAAGCACAGCAACTTCATTATTTTCTTGGTGCTCTCAGGTCAAGAAAGCAAGGTGGGAGAAGCATAATAACATGTTTCTCTCACCTTCCTCACCAGTATCAGAACATTTTGCAAGCACTTACCTGTTAACACAATAAGCCACTGACATTCACTATATCTGTTTTTTGTTCCCTTTCCCTCACCCTAAGTTCTCTCAGCTTATTAAAATCTTCAACTCGCTGGGTCCTGAGAAGTTCCCCCTCGTGGAGCAGACTTTCTTCCCAAGCCATAAGCAGATGGTGAGTATCCTTGTTTTCTTCTGATGCCAGCATGGATGGGGAAGAAGCAACAAATGTGAGTTGGGCACAAGAGATGGTGGTGGGAATGCTGGGAAGAGTCTCAATTTTACTTGCAGAGTATATCTATCTAAAAAATACTATGCAAAAAGCACTCCTTGGGAACCTCTTTCTTTTCTTGCTCAGCCCTCCACCCAGCTCACTTACAGACCCTGAAAAAGTGAGCAATGAGAACAGGCTCAAAACTAAAGCACAAGTCCATTGTAAAATCTAGTCAACAGAAGCTCATCCCTTAGAGCAAGGAACTACTTTATTCAGACAAAGAGGATTTTTTACCCTCCCAGAATTCTTTAAAATATGTTGACAATTTGGGACATAGGCCATAAGAGGTGTTCATTTCACAATGTCAGTTTACTTGGTCTGTCACATGGTTGCCATCCACAAAACACTTCCCAGCCTGACTAGGTACTCAGAGTAAACTGGAGTTCTTGAAAAAGAGTTTGTTTCAGCTCAGAACGTTTCCTTTGCGCAGTGACTCTGGGGTCTAGTCTTCCTGTCAACAATTAAACACTCAGTGCCCTGTGTGGCTACTGGGCACTGTACCAAACTCTTAAGGCACATTCCAAAGAGATCTGTGTAGGTGCCTTCAGTCTTGGAGAACATGGCAAAGCAAGTGGCTTTGTTTAAAACTGTTCATGTCTCTGTTTTTCCCTGGGTTTAAAGGATGACTAGTCCTTCATGAATTTTTGCTCCCAACTTAGATTCATGAATTAGTGGCTCTTCTTACCTGGCTGAGGCTTTGATGAGACCCTGTGTGAACTGTGACCTACCATGTAAACCACGGGCTGGCTCAGCTTATTTCCCTCACTTGCAGCATTAGCAGTCTGAATATTAGGGTTGTTGAGATGTCAAACAAGGGCTCAAAAACATTAAAACCCCTCTTTTCTCACAAACTTGTTGCAACACTATGGGCAAGCCACAATATCTAATACAGGTACCTGGTGGTAGATACAGGCATCTAGTGGGAGCTTCAAAATTCGAAAAGAAGCCTCATTTAGCCTCTTTAAAAAAAAAAATCCCACCAGTGCTCGCTACACACCCGAATACCTTGAAATGCTGGTCCTTCATCTCTCTATTCCCATACTCTGTTGTCTACCTGTGCTGTGTGGACAAAAGCGCTTTCATACTTCACAGGCACATCACAAAGGTAAGTACAGTCTTGAGTGCTGTGAAGCTGCAGTGGTAGGAGTTGTATTATCATTTAAGCCAAAGAAATGCATGGTCCTTAAACACTATGTGACACTTTGTTGCAGACTTTTAAGACAATTTAGTTGATAAATCCTGTTGCATTTAATTTCCACTGATTCATAAAGAGATTTTTGTGACATATCTAATGCTTCAGGACAGTTGTGACTTTGTCTGACCATCACTTCAGGAATGGTATTTTTGGAAGTCTTGATTAAGGTTTCCATTGCAAATATGCTAGCTAGCACTTTTAGCGTTATTTTCTTCTGTGGAAATCTGATTCTTGATTCCTCGGCACATAAATGCATTTGTAACCAGCACAGTAGTTTGGTTTAGCACATCACTGATCTTAATTTCATGTATTTGTCATCTTTATAACCGATCACCTACTTGGAGATGCTATTGCTTACTTACAAAAGAATAGAACCACCTTTTGAAACTGTAGATAATCTTATCTGAACACAAACACGATTGTTGACATGCAAGCTTGAGCAATCTGGTTTAAATCAGTCAGTTTCCAAACATTTACACAAGCAACAATCCACTTGGGCAAATTCAGGCCAATCCTTTCTAAGGGGGAAGAGGGGGGGGGCCAAGGGAGAGTGGCAGGAATCTGGCTCACAGAAAGAATCCACAGAACTTCTCAAGATCTTTTCTAGGTGCATCTTTGCAGTATACTGGGCTGTGAGAGGCTGAGAGGACAAGTGCTTAAGCCAAGCAAGCTCCGTTGCAGTCACCACTCCACTAAATACCTGTGAAAGTTGCTTGCCCACTGTGCATCAGCTTCCCCATGTGTCAGATAGGAATATAATGATCTCCTTTTCCCACTCTTTTCTTTCATTTCCTGGAGGCAATTTCAAGCTGTAACAGTTAGCACTCATAAAATACACTGTGGTCCTTTGATGGTTGACCCCCTGGAAGTGTTTATAACTAGTGTTATGGTTTTAACTCTTTGCAATGTGATATACTTTAAGCAATGAAATTCTCACATAAGAGAACCTCATCCTTCTATGCCCAAAACTTTCCAAAGATCACTTACTTTCTAAACTTTTTGATTAAACATAGAACAGATTTAAAAATCTGTTTCATTCTTTCATCCTTGTAGACAACAGAAATTTTCCTAAAGTGCATGTGAGATAAAGGAAATTTCTAACAGTAGGTCCATTTTTGTGAGCATTTTAATTTAGTTTAGAACAGTTTCTCCAAAGGTTCCTTCTTATGACAACAGGGCATTTTTAACCAGCCTTAAACAATAAACCTAAAGAGAGGACACAAGGCTCAGACATTTCACAGCTGAAAAGATCCAAAAGATTAATCTTTCCTCTCTTTGCCACCAGAATGTACCTTTCAACTCTCCCCTAAGTGACCAGTTTACTGGAAATAAGAGCAACCTAGCAACTGTTCTAAGGCCCTACAGGTGCCAGGTGACAGCCATAATGACTGCCCTGCTCTGCAGTGACCCCCTATGGCCAGTAACAAGTGGGATATATTAACTTCAAAAGGGACCCCAATAATTCTTAAAGAGATCAACCTCTTAAAAAGAGGGAGGGTCTGCTGGAGGGATGTCTTTGCCAAAGAGCAAGAATCGCCAGAGGTGGAGTATCTGCTTTGGGCCCCAATCAAATGGTATCAAGAATCGGAAGGAAATTAATAAATCCACTTGCAAATCTGTTTGTATACACTTGAAACAGACAGAAACTAATATAAGTGAAGCAGAGACAGAATGTCTGTGATAGAAATAAAACCACTTTACTGTTTAGAATAAAAGGACACTATAAAAAGTGAACATTATGCAACATTACCTTAAAAGACAATATACATTCACTGAATATAAAATTTATAAATAACACGGAGGAAAACTGTAAACAGTGCTAGAAAATTTAGCAACAAATACATTCCTTCTGGACAAGATTTTTCACATCAGTTTGGTTCCCTCCCCAAGTTTCCATGACTATCAGGAACAGCAGTGGCTCTATGAAGGAAGGACAGTTAGCAGAGAGAATGAGAAGGCAGTACAGGCAAAGGAGCAGCAAATATTTAGTGGATTGTTAAGATTTTTTTTCAAGACTGGTAGCCCCAAAAGCCACTTATTCTAAAAAAAGACAAAAAAAATTTTGCAGTTCCCTAAATTTTGTTTTGTTGTTCTAAGCTATAAAATACATTAGAAGTGATATTTTCAGGGACATCTGAGAGAATGGAAACTTGTTCCCATGGTGGCCTTTACTTGACACAGTCTTTACTGTGAAAAACACAACAGCGTGTTTCCCATCATCCTGAGGTAGCATTTCCCTCTGGCGAAACACAAATGGGATGCAGTGATATATTTATGTTTTAGGATAGTCCTACCTAAAGGGCCATGTAAATTTTCAAAACATGGGAAATTTAGACCCAAAATGGCAGCTCTGTCCCATACAAGGGAGGGGGAAGTCTCCCACAAAAGGGCTTTATTCAAGGTACTCCATGCACAGATCTCCTCCTACGTTCTACCCGCTCCATTTTGGAAGAGTAAAATCAAATCCAGTCTTTCCCAAACCTTCAATATATTTTGCATTTTTTTGTAATTCTAAAGGGGAAAACACTCTCAAGCAAAAAAGGAAAAATATCTATAAATAAGAAAGCGAACAGCAACAGTCTACAAATGAGCTATGCATTTTTAAAAGTACTTTTAATAATCTTGGTATAGCTAAAGCATGGAGGAGGGGGAAGCCTTCATCCTTTACATGTCCAAAGGTCGTACTCACATGAGCTGTGCCACTGACAGTTCCTCTGACCGTAGGTTATAGGGTGAAGTGAGGAGCCTGTCAGAGGTGATAAGAAGATATCTGCGCTGCTATAAGCCATTGTACACTCCATAGCCTAACATTTTGGAGAGGACATCACACCTGCCTCCTCACATCTCCATGCCTGCTGTTCCTACATGTTGCATGGCCTGCTGTAATGAGGGAGAGAGTTTTGTCCATTCTCAGGCAGAAGTGACTTAGCAAGACAGAAGAAAGGAGAACAGATAGAAAGGAGTAAGTCTTTGAGTCTGATTTAGAGCCTGTTCAATCCATTTAATGGCTTCCTTCCACTTCAAGGGAGCCTTCAGTCAGGTTCTTAATGCAAGCACAAGCTAAAGTTTAGCCCAAGAAATACATGTCCCTGATAGCACGCACATAAACAAAATTAAGAAGCCTGCCAAAAGAAATGTATTTTTACTGGATTCTTCCCCCTCATTTTGGCTCCACATTTTTAAAAGCCTTAAGAACTGTTTCTTAACACAGCAAGGGGAAAGATCTGCTACCAAATCCCCAACCCTGCCAGTCTAGCTGTCTGCATCTCAGAAATTTTTTACTGTCTACAATATAAAATGGAAATAAGTTTCATTTTCTGGTAAAGCATCTGCTGGTTTGTTGTTTACAAAGCACATAGCTACATTATAGCCTACTTAGGACACAAGCCCTCATAGCATTAGAACGCAAATATTTTCCCAATAATTTGAGTGCAATACTGTGATGTCTCAGCTAGCTACATGAATCAGTGACAGGTAAAATACGCAGAGCTGCAGTTTAATGAAAAATCAAATCAACACTTCACTGCATCTCGAGGGGCATTTTCATTTAGCCTTCCAAAGCCATAAAAGTGGTCGCCACTCAAAGAGATGCCAGCTTTGCAAGTCACCTTGAGCATGAGGAGGGCCACCTCCAGGGATGCCGACTCCACACGATGCAAACAGTGAGGCCATCGCCTCTCTCATCTCAGTGACCCTCAGAGATTTTTGTCAGCAGTGCACAGCACAAACAGAGATTGTTCCACTGTGTCAGAAGCCCAACCCTGTACTCTGCCAGAAGGGGCAACCCACCTTCTGATCCTATGATGGATGCTGTGAAGTACTCTACTCTCCCTCTCATCTCCAACCCATAATTTAGAAGTAGTCACAGGGAGGAGGATTTCTGAAAAGTGTTCCAAGCCTGAATCACAGGAAAATCCAACAGACTTTCACTGTTGTTTGTGCTGTGTTACCACTCAGAGCAGCTGAAAAAAAAAATAAAATTACACAGCAGACCTAGGCACCTCTTACATCAACTCTTTGAAAATGCCCTTTAAAGTTCACGTTAAAGATGAAGCTATGCACTTTTTGCTGCAACAATTCATCTAGTAAATGGGCATTTCAGGGGATATATGTCTGGCAGGACACAAGGAATATAAAAACGCATCAGGGCCCATCTCAGACACCCTTTCCTTTCCATTTGGCAAAGAAGCCCCAAACAACTCTTTAGTAATTGAGGTCACTGACTGTAAAATGTTATATTGCCCCAGGCTGGAATCACTGCAACACTTTTTCCTGCTGGTGGCAGCTCTGCTTTTTAAGTGGAATGAACTGAAGATATATGGAAACTTAAGATAAATAATCATCATAATACAAAAAAAGAAGTTAAGCATAATCTTCTCCCTGCCCAAGCCCTCCCCATCCAAAACTCAGTCACCCATTTTGTCAGCACCCCTTCTTCACCATCATTAAAACTTAAAATACTTTTATTTGATAAGAAAAATTATATTATAGTTTTCTTAATAAAAACAAAATAGAACGAAAAAACTTCTCCAGTCAACAGCAAAGCACAAGACAGTAAGGCTCCTCCTCCCACATCACTGCAGGACACGGTACGAGCACATGCACAGAGCAATGCTTAGCAGTGCCTCGAGGGAAACACAGCACTTGACACAGAAGGAATCCTCTGGGCAGCTGAAATTTTATGATCCCAGCCAGCACTTAAGAGACCACTTTTCCTTGCCTAGCCCCCACACACACTTCCTTTCACTATATAAACAAATGCAGCTAGTGTAGCTGCAGAGGACAAACCATGGTGCACAGAGGTACAGAGGAAACAATGACTGTAGCCGCTACTGCAGATACACTGGAGCTTCAATATCTTAAAAACAACTCACTGACTCGGAATGTCAATATTTCTGTTTTTAAAACACAATCAAACCATTCTTTTGTTTACAACACCAAAAAAATTCCACTTCCTGTCAAAAATAGCTTATGTCATTATGTGTATATACATCTTAGTTCAGCAAAACACTATTTTGGCAATAGATTTTTTTTTTTTTTTTAATAGTAAGAGCTCTAGCAAGTCTCCCCTTCCCTCTTCCATGTGATTGATTTACAGTTGGTATTTTTGCATCTGTTTGGTTTAAGGTGTTCACAAGCTGGCTTTGCTGTTGAAGCTAAGCTGCAAAAATTTCAGGGGCCAATGCTGCTCAAAACAGGATGGCACAGCACTTCATCTGCTCTGCTGTAGGTGGATATACCTCCCTGAACATAGGGGATGGGGTTTTTGTTTTTTAAACAACAAAAAAAATACAAAATACTCTCTCTTTTGTTCTGGGAAAGCCAGAACTTGAACGTGCTGTTGCATTCACACTGTGACTGAATTAGCTAGGACAATCAGTCAACAATGCTTTTACCAGACGATGTGGTCAGACACACCAGGTGAATTCTTCCACTGCTGGAGTCAATCACATTACCAATCTCTCCCACAGAGGAGGATTTCTTTTGGACGTAATTTTTTCCAGAGTTTAGGCTGGGTTTCTTTTCAGTTTGTTTCATTTGCCAATCATCTGATTAATGAAACCTGTTTTCCTTCAAACAGATGTGTCTACGTATTTTTCAGCACTTAGTGCATGAGGAGGGGTGACGGGAAGCCAGCGCATAGAAGAATACAGTGCCTAATTGGCATAGTTTTTAGATTTTTGTTTTCCTAAAAAAATAGAGATTATATTGCTACAACTAATGATACGTGTAAGAGAGCAAGAGCTCCATCTTTTTTTCTTTTTTTTCCCCTCCCATTTTTCCCTCTGGTGTGCAAAAGTAAGCTCCCAAATGTCATCTGATCAAAATGAGTGGTATCAAAAAATGGAAAAGGTGAATACAAATTCAGTAAGGTAGCACAGACTTTTTTTTCTTTTCTTTCCTTTTTTTTTTTCTTTTCTTTTTTAAGTGTTCGAAGTGCTAAAATTTGCATGAAAACAGGCACTAATTTCATTGTCATCATCATGATCTGGTAAGAGTTAGTGTCCAAACGAAGATCAGCCACAAGTAAGGGAGAGGGGAGATAAGAAAGGGATAGCGTGCTCAGGGATCTGTGGCATTGATTATCGTTTTATCTGGAGGCGCCCATCCTCTATACCAGCTGCAGTAACCTTCCACCCTCTGGATACAGGCGTAGTGCTTCGCTTGGTATCCTGAATGGCCAAAGTTGGAGAGCATGTCCGTCCAAATGCACTCATTCTTGGAGGTGGCAAAGCAGGGCAAATAGTAGCAGGGCCTAATCTGCAATTGTAAAGAGAAATCAGGTGAGGCTACATGGAAGAACAGCAGCATATAAAATGTCTTTTTACCAGAGATAAGGGATTCAAAATTGCACTCCCTCAAACCTTGCTTACTAACCCAAAATTCAGCCTCAGTTAAGTAAGCACATAAGCGTGTGCTTAGCTTCACATAGACAAGTAATTCCAGAGTTAAAAGGGCTTTTCAGGTGCAGAAAAGTTGAGCTTGTGTCTATGTTTTTGCAGGCCTGGGGCCGTGAGCAAAAAATCTAAGTGCCAGAGCCAGGCTGTGAGGTTTTAAGGACTCAAAATGTTTACCCAGGAAAAAGGCTGGACATATCTTGTCAAGCCTCTGTTACCTGATTTCATTCACCTGCAAACCATCCTGCATGGATTCTGAAAACCTTCCCCAACCCCAATTAACTCCAATAGGGCATTAAAAAGGCACAGACTCAGCATTTTAATTTGACTGTTTCTTCTCTGGTCTCAACACTAAAGCTGATCTTTACTTCTTCCCTGTAAAAATTGCTATCCTCCATTGCTCTTCTTGGCTGTTCACCAGCATCATTGGTATTACCAGCCAGGGGAAACAGAATTCTAGAGTTTGAATGTCTTAACACCACCTAATTAGAGAGGCACATACCTTGCATCCACAGCCCAGATGATAACGATGATTCAGTCCTTTACGCTGAGACAAAGTCAACCGGTCCCATTTCTCATACCAGTTGCACAGGCCAGTGTAAACCTTCCCTTCATACACACGGCCTTGAAAACAGAGACATGGTCACAAGTTAGCACTTCTCAGCTCAAGCACTTTTCTCGTTTCCCAAGACTGCTAATGCTCTCAATATGTTTGGCTTCAGTCACTGCTCAGCAACTGCTTTCTTTTTATTAACTGGTTCAGGAATCTCTGGCCAGCAAGATTACAGCACTTCTGTAAGTTAGGAGTGTTGTGCCAGCTTTAAGCACCAGAAACAACACACAGGTGAGTAATGCCGTCAAGCTTCTCTTGACAGCACAGCAAAGTGTATTGACACCTTCACTAGAAAGAAAACTTGGCAACTGCCACCTCTCTGTCTCATTGCATCTCCCCATCTCAGCTGCCTGCATTACTCCAGCTCATTCCAAAAGGGATCTTCCATTTCTAGCACAGCCAAGTAGCAACCAGTTCCCTGTGACAGACATGCCAGCTCAGGTATGAACTGACAGCTGTGGACTGTCACACAGCACTTATCACAACGTTGCTGGCTATAAGAGATGCTTTAGGAAAGAGAGGGAAATCTTGAGAGTGAAATGACTCTCAGCATCAAAGAGTACTGAACACCAAAATACTGTTGGCCATCTTAACACTTGGGAAGCCGCATGTAGAGCTGTCCACATAGCTGCCCATGTCCTTCACGGGTGTGTGTATAGAACAGAAGAGGTTTTGATTATGAAGAAGCACACTGTCCTTTACCTGTTATCAGATATTGGTACTTGTTGACCTCCAGCTTGACTCCACAAAGACTCTCAGAGGCTTCTGTGTAGATGTACTGAACATGTGGCATTATCTGGAAGCCCCTGTACATCTAGAGAAAGAATAAAAATGCTTTAAGTCATCTTAAGTTATCACATTCCTAGACTGTGGTGGCAAGCAGTGAACTTCTAGTGTTTACAAGAGTGAAGGACTAATGGCACTAGCTGGACTCTGCTGTAAGTCTCCCCACCAGATCTGCTGGTAAAGCAGAATACCCATCCACTAACGAGCCATTGCAATTCAGCACAGGGACCACTCTTCCCCACTTGCATTAGTTCCAGTGGCACTGAGTGAGCAAAGCGCCAACAATGCAAGCTCTGCCAACATCCTGAACAATTTTATCCCTTATATAGCTCATAATTAGGGAGAAATTAAATTAGTTCAAGTTTGGAATCTCTCTCCTTCACATGATTTAAACAATTTCTTCTGAACTAAGGGATTTTTCTTTTAAACAATGACCCTATTTTCCAGTGTTGCTGCTGTAAAGAGTTTCAAACCTTTGGTGCTTGATCCAAGTCATCAAGCCAGACACCTCCTTCTCAAACGCCTAGCATACCCAACTCCAGCTGACCTCAGCAAGGATTTAATGTTTCTCTAACTAAATGAATGCAGAAATAGAATTCTACCCCATCTCCTAAAATTAGCCCAGTAGTGATGGCGCCATAAAGAAAATATCATGTATACATAATTCCTCTACACTCCTTCTCCTTTTTCATAATGTTTCTTACAGTTCAATTTAATTGAAATATGAACCCACAGATATACTGGCAGTTGGATTCAGTCAGAAATTAGCATGTGTCCCTATCTGACCTGACCGTACTGCTGCAGTTTAGGGAAACTCATGCCCACCTGTTAGTAGCATAATGATGTCTGTGCATAGCAATAAAACAACCACAGCATATGTACATTGGACCCAATAAAACACATCCTATTCTTGAAACACTGAGGATTATTTTCCTGAAAATTTCACCTTTAAAATTTGGTGATCTTTTCAAAGCATTCAGTCTCTTTTTTTTCCCCACCAACTGTATGAATGGCCAATGTTTAAAAGTTAAACAGTTAGGAGTCAAAGACAATCACAATTTTATAACACTTCCCATTTCCGTATCCTTTTCTCTGTCAGGTTTATTGATGGAGAGCACACTCACATTCAGTGTAACTGTAAATACTAAAGTAAGGCAAAAGAGGAAAAAAAAAAATCCCAAACAATCCCAGAGCTCTGGATCCTCACAGCTGTGTCACCTAAGCTGTGGTTTTCTCCACCATGCTATAGTCTATTTCTTTAAGACCCCTGTTATCCCAGGGTATTTCACTATTCCCCCACCTCCTTTAAAAATAAAAAACCTTTTTCTTTCTGAAAGAACGTCTGTTGATTTAATAGATTTTTATGCTAGGCCCAGATACTGCGTATAAAAATATAAAAAACTACTACTAATTCTGCTATGCTGATAGGTCAAACTGTCTGCTGGGCATCCATGGAATGTCTGACAGGTTTGGGGTTTTTTTTTCTCCTTAGTTATATTACCCCAAACAACATAATCTTCTAACAGTATCACAATTCAGTAACAGCAATGCTGTGCACAGTAAAAGACAAGCTAAACGGTTTGCGTTTTCCAGCCTTCTTTCTACATCCAGCAAATATGCAAGGAAAGCATTTGTTTAAATTATACTGTATCAACAAAAGTTCACAGATCACGTGTGGAATACACCATTGTCTCTGTAAGTGAGCAAAGTCTTTCAATTAATATGGAAGAACTGAACCTTGCCTAATCTCTACTTTATCCCTGTAATTTTCTTGGTATGGGATGATCTACTCAGATTTTCCAATTATGCTCAAGATAGCTGGACGTCTAAGTTCTGGCACAAACACCCTGTCTGTCCTTGGATGAGTTACTTAGCCCTCAGTACACTTTTGTTCCTCATCTGTAGGACAGCTCTGCCTTGCTTCCCAAGGGTACTGCAAAGAAAGGCACAGAGAATAAAGATTATGTGTTCAGACCCCATTCCAGTGGGTATCACAGAAAGAAGATACGATAACAGCATCTAAGCAGATAAGACTAGCTGAGGTAACAGTTAGAGCTCCCCAGCCTCTCCAGGAAGTACATTATCTACACTGCAGAGAGCTGTATGCTGTGCATGTGCAGTACAAGTGATCTGTCACTCAAGAGTGCTAAGCTCCAAGTAGTGTTGGGCTAATTATCTGTGCTATAAACTCTACATGTGCACAGGCACATTCTCCCCCTTGCAGACCGGGCTACAAGCTAGACTAATCATTCCTGAGAGCTGCTCAGGCCCTTCCTATGGGACCCTTATAGTCATCACTTCTTGCATCTTCTGCACCATCAAGCTCAACACGTCTGCCTGTGAAGTAACTAGTGATGCTGAACCAGGGTTTGGTTTTCAACTCCTGGACTTAATTTCCTGTTCACAGTACCATCAGGGACACCACTGTCTCAGTTGCTAAAGGAAGTATGCTCAACCTCTCAAAAAGGATTTCAGCTCACCCCTCAGTGACCCTCATCAATGCTAGCAACTGTCATGTGAATTGACCCAGTGCTGGGGGAAGACAGGGCCTGCTTCACCCTCTGATGACTAAGAAAATTCACCATGACCTTGGTTCTCAGGGGACAAAAAAGAAAATTTGGCAAGGGAGAATCTTCTACAGATGCCCTCTTTCAAAACAAGTAGAACAATACCTTAAGCATTATTTTTGGATACACAAAATATCCTGGAAGTGCTATCAGACCAGTCAGAAGAAAGCCAACCATAAAGCTAGCCTCTCTCCTAACTGCTATCCTCAGAGTCTTCCTGTCACCACAAATGTGTATTTTCAGAAGCATAATGACAGGGAACAAAGTATTAGCAAGTGTCACGTGGTGGTGTCTGCTGGTGCTGCTCTATTGCCAGCTATGTCAATAGCGCTCCCCTTAGCAGCCTCCATTCTGCCTCAGAAATGCACATGTAAATCCTGTGGTGGTTCCTGCTGCATGATTAACTTCACCCTGTGATAAGATGTTCCTCCTTCTATCCCTCCCATGTGAGGTCACACTAGGTATCAAGGCCTGGAGTCATCTTGCCTAACCTTCAGCTACCTAAAATTTAAGCACTTCATATGAATTAGGCATCCTCTCCAGTCAAATGCCAAGAACAGGCACCTCCAGAACAACTGAGTCCATCCTAAAATAGCTGTCTACAACTTGTGGGCTGAATTATATTTTGGTGGTTCCTATCTCTCTCCATAGACAATCAAGAGAACAAGAAAGACTCAACCCTGCATTTTAGTCTGTCCTGTGCAGATCATCCAGGACTGTCTGTGTACATGGAACAGAAATATCTTATCTCCTTGTTTCCTTAGAGTTTCCTGAAATAGGTTTGGGCCATTTTCAGAACACACTGGAGCATCAGGGAGTACACAGGGGTTAGATCAGTCCTGTGCAGATTTCTGACACGTGGTCTTGAAATATTCATAAACTATTAGATAAAGCAGCGGGGGAAAGCAAAGGGTGGTTGAAAAAGCCCAAGGGCTTTTCAGAGAGCAAGTCTGAATGCTAGAAAGCCTGTCGCTGTTCTGTGCCTGCAGGTTGACCCTGTGCTCCAGTCCAGGCTCAGAGCTGGTTTAGTTGTGAAATTCAGCAACGAGTTCAGGAGTGTTAGTGAGAGCAAGAATCAGCCACAGCAAACTCCAAGGAACCCATGAAAGAAATACAAAGATTGTTTGTTGCCTTTTAAGGCTTTCGATGCTTTTAATAGGCAACTTACTACATACTGAGAGACTAAATGGCTTGTTTATTTTTCATCTGCAGGTGCAGAGGGGTTTATAGGTGGCCAAAAAACACTGACACGTTAGTTTTATCTTTAGAGTTGTTCCCATGCAGCTGTGCAGAGCCATAGGCCTCCTTAGTTTTCTTT